GAAAGAAAACAGGGATAATTTGTCCTAGAATTAAGAAAGTGATGCTTGAGTTAGACACGTTTAAAGAAGAGTGGCTGAACAGTTCAAGAGATATTCAGGGGAACCTGAACAGCATAAATTTCTAGAAGAGGAAGTGTCATATTCTTTCCCAGACCTTACTAGGATTGGTGGTTCTGATGTAAAGATTGGTGATATACAACTAGACAGTTGACTGTGTGTCCAGACTTTTGAAAGAGACAGGTTAAAAAGAAAAGGACACGTGTCTGACACCCTTGTATGATGGAGGGCAGATCATTTTCTCCCTCCTGCATTATTTGGAAAACTGTGGCTGCAAAGTCCTCTGTTACTGTGAATATTTTTATTCCTGTTCTTTCTGACTGCAAAAATTGAATGCTAAAGTCCCCTGTCGAACTTTGGCTTGCTTGTCACTTGCCAGTCAATAAATACAGACCAAATTATTTCCCAGGTGTCCTAAACCACCATGTTTCTTTGGTTCTCTAACTATGGCATTAGTCATGGGCTTGTGCTCAGATTCTCTTATCTCAGTTTTAGCTTCTGTAATTGAAATAACAATTTTCCAGTGCAGTATCCCAAGTGCCTTGAGCCTGCACTTCGTATGCCACTGTGATCAGTGCGGATTATACCCATTTTGTCAGTGAGCCAGACATTTCTGAAATTTAAAGAAATTGAAATGTTTGGAATTGTTGAGAAGATCGGAACTAGCAGGGATTACCGTGCAGCAAACATAAATGTGAAACTAATATTGATTGTTTCTGGATGCTGCAGCTGTTACTAAATAAGATCCATCAGACACTGGATTCCAGAATTTTCCATGCTGTGAAGAATTAAAAATTTATGAAACACTATCAAGAGAGACTGGTCTTACCTAATTTAGAAGTTACAGAGAAAAAAGGTTCAAAGTAGATAATTGTGACAGAGGCTCATATACTGAGTATTTCAGATTTCTGATAAAGTTTTACAGTTCTATTTTAACCTTTACGACATCTAATCTCAGAACAGGACTTTGACACCTATTCTAGTATGTCAGTTATGACGGATATGTGCAGTCCTGTTGTGGCAGGAATAATGACAGACTTTAGTTATAGGAAAAAGATCAATTTAAACTGTTTGCAAGCTGTATATTACACTCTGATACTCCTGCCAAATGATAAATCCCATATAGCAGGCCAAGTAAAGGTCTCTAGGAGATGGTTTAAACCTTAAGGAACCACTACATTCTCCTTATTGTACTACCCTCCAGACAGTCTGAACAAGCCAGAAAGTTACTCAACATGTAACTTACCAAAGCATTTATTTCAAGACAGCATCGAGCGAGAGCTTTAAACAACCACAAAGCAAAAGAAAGACCCATGCCCAGAAGAACACTGTGCAAACCTTGAGCTTAATAATCTCAAAAACATACCTGGAGCAAACCGCCATCATAAGACTTTGACAAATCATAAGCAAAGCCTTGGACCAAGACTCTGTCCATCCAGCCCTTCAGGATCGCAGGCATGCTGAACCAAAACAAGGGAAACTAGGCAAAGAGTAAATTACCTGGTTAGCGCATAGAATCTGGACCACCCTTAGGCCTGGTTCACAGGCCAAATCCTATTCTCCAAGTCTGCTCAGATCTCGTACCTGCCTTCTTCCAGCTCTCTGCCAGGAGAGGCAGTAACTATGCTTGGCAACAGGACCTGAAGTGCTTTCTGGTTGTGGTAGTCTCAGGGCCATACCTGAGCACCTACAGCACACTAACACTAGGGTGTATGTGAGGACTTCCACCCAGATTAGAGTTGGAATATGATGAATCAGGAAGGTACCATTTAATTCCAACTTAAGACTGTACAGAATCACTGTACAGAATCCTATGTGTGAAATGCAAAAGCAACAGATGATCTAATGCCTTATTAGCAGGACTGACATCAGATGATCAGTTCTGATCTGACAGTCTGCTGACAAATGCTGGGGGATCTTACTTTCACACCCTGCTGATATCATGACCCCAAATCCCTTTATTGAGAAGGAAACTACTTCTTTAACACTTGGACTCTTAGTGTATAGATCTTCCAGTTAGCCTATGGGACTACATCCCAAAGCTATCATGTCTTAATTGCTTTAGCTTGAACGCTTTTCTAGGCTGTTTTTCTAGGAAGCATCACTAGCACTAAGCCTTTGTACACACTGAAGAACAGAAGAAAACCTGTAAAAGCATCACCACACTGGGCTTAATTTGAGATGGAAACAAAGTGGAAACCGGACAGTCAGCACTGTCTCTACAAGTGGTGAGTTTAGTCTGCAGCAAATTTGGAATGACTTTATGGTGTCTTACAGAGGCTTTTTTTTAATAAATAAGAGAGAAAGTGAACAACAAAACTGAAGTGTATTTAAAATAATGACCTGAAAAATCAGCAAGTCTGCTTCCTGCACCTTCTTTTGCTCTTCAACCAGATCTTTGGACAAACCTCCCCTCTTGTAAGCTTCCCAGGTCTCCACGCCATAATTGAAAGCTTCCGAGTTATGCAAGCGACCTGTGGGTAGAAGTGAAGTCATTCCTTGCCCTGTGTCCAGCACCAAGCCAGATAAGATTTAAACACAGATTAAAGTCTACAGTTCTAAACTGAGTCACTGCTTTCTGTTTTCCCCATTTCCTTTTCTTTGGTGGATATTCAACATCCTCACAGCTGAAGGTGATTTGATTTTAAAGTGGAGAGGAATGTAGAGCCTCAGAGTCCTAAACTTTCACCTTCCTGTAGCAACATACAAAGTGCAATATGAGGACCTAAGGTTGGCTCAGGACTCAGGTGATGCAGGTGGATGATTTGAGAGATTTTTGCTAATTGTTCTGCCTCTGCCTTAGGGTTTACTGAGACCATCATGCACTTATAAGCACGATGGAGCTGCTTTCCAGCCTCTGTAACGGGAAAACTCAGCAGGTGCTGGGAAACCATCAGGGACAACGGTTCATTTTGTCACTTCAACTGGCAGATATCAGTCTCTAGCAGAAGACAGAGGCAGTAGCCTCATGAACTAACCGCGTAGCAAGTCACAGAACGGTTTCTGAAGACATTTTCTCCCCACAAGAAAAAGACTTCAGAGATTGATTGTGGACATGTGCTAATGCATTCTTCCCTCTCAATGATCTCACTGAGAGACAAAGTTCATGCTCAGGAGTGAACTTTTAGAAATGCTGTCTGTCCATATATAAGTTTCTTATTAATGAAATAAGTTTCTTATTAATCTCTTGATGATGCAAGGCCTGGAGCACCTCTCCTATGCAGACAGACTGAGACAGTTGGGGTTGATCAGCATGGGGAAGGCTCCAGGGAGACATTTCTCAGCCTTCTGTTACCTAAAGGGGGGCTTATGAGTCAGTATTGTTGATAAAGGTATATTTTGGCTAGTCTCACCAACAATGTCATTTCTTGTTGCTCTTGGCTCAAACTGCATTGCATATAAATCTGACACTGTGACACTGCAGCCCTGCTTGGTCAATTCTTCCACAGCAATCTTCAACAAAGATCCGTTGAAGGACTTGGGCTCTTGATGTGCATAGACTATCAGGACTTTTTTCCCTGGAGGCAGAAAGAAAACCAGAAGACAATTTTGAATATAGGAGGCAGATGCAGGACAATTTGTGGAGCTGGGGCTTGTTCCTTCCTTTTTCTATAGTGTGTTTTCCAAGTGGCACAAAACTAGTGGAAACAGAATGACAGTGGCAGGATTTGACTCCTGCTCAGCAGCAGTGAGTGACTCCTGAGGTAATAATCACTGAATGCCCCCTGCCCAGCAATTCTGTGCAACACTGGGCTTTCCTAGGTGGCAGTCAGTGGACACTGGATATGTTCCACAGCAGGTCATACTGCCCTACATAAACACTACCCAGTCCCTCCTTGAGTCAATGTTTCTGTTGCTCTGATTCCACTATTCCCAAAAAGCAGTGCTACTGTCTTATTTCAGCATCACAACAGTGACTTCAATAGAAAGCAACAGAATTTTTTTCTCAGTGACAAGAGGGAGCTGTCAAGTGCCAAACTGCTGTCAAAATGGATTCAAGGTAAGCCAAGTGGCCAGGCAGATATGTTGGGATGGAGCTTTTCAAAGGGATGTAACAAGGTTTATTGGAGCTTACTTGTTGAAGAATTTACTGAATATAGGCTAATCAATTTTAATAATTTTCTTAAAAATCATTCATCTGTGAAAACAAGGGAAAGATGAAATAGTTTGTATGGGGTAGTAGTCGCTTATACATGACCTGAGATAGAAATCACCAGGGACTGTTGAAAATTACTTGATCTACAAGACATGCAGCTCTTGGTTCCTGACTGCCAACACTAAGCTTCAGGCATCTCCTAAGCTCAGTTTCTGCATGACACAGCTCCTGATGTACATCCCAGAGCACCACCTGCTAAGTGATAGGCAAGTTTAGGCTATTAGGGATAACTAATAGAACCCAAGCTGAATGCTTGAAAAAAGAACAGCTCATTTTTAACCTAATTTACAAGTGGTGATTCTTTCTCCAAGGTGCATAGTGCCCATGAAACAAGAGCTTTGCAAAAAACATTATTAAAACTTGCAGGTCAAACACTAACATAAATGCAAGGCATGTATAAACTCTGAAAACCCTTGCTCCATAACTTACTCTGGAATATCAGAAGCAGTTATCTCTTTTCTATTCCTGCCATCTCTCAGAAAAAAGGCAGCTCAGTACCTGGAGATGCCACAAGCTCCAAAGAGTGGTAACTGATTGATTGATTGACTGAAAGAGATTGATTCTGCAAAGTTGCCAGATTGCTCCCCTTTCACTGGATCTGAAGGGGCCTGAACACAGTGTTTGGGGGACTGGAGTTTTCTGAGGCATCACTTACTGAAGTAATTTCAGTGATTTGAAAAAGGAAGACCTCAAAGTCACAACTAAACACGGCAGTGAAGCCCCATCCCTGAGGTGCCCTTTGCCCAGGCCTGGAGCGAGCAGCATTTTCATTCTCATTTGCTCTTACCTGCCATTGTCCGGGAGCGCTTGGGAGCTTCTCTCCTGAGAATCTGGTACGGCCTGAGAACTCAAATGAGAGAAACATCAGGGTCAGAGGAGGATCTCTGTTTTTGGCACGGTTGCCCCGACACGGGGCCATGGCGCCGCTCCCGCTCTCGTGCCGCCCTCTGGAAAGCGTTTTGGGAGCTGAGCGCGGATCCCCGGCCCCAGAGCAAGCCGGGGTGCCCTCACCTGCTCCTCGGGGCCCGGCGCACACCTGCGGCGGGGCTGGGCGGCTCTTCCCGGTGGCCCCGCTGCCCGGGCCCTGGGGCAGCGCCAGCGCGGGGCGGGATCGGGATCGGCGCCGCCCGCGGCCGCGGCTCCGGCTGTTTTTCGTATGTGCATCTGGCTTAATTTGATGCCCTTTAGTTCTAGTTTTTGTACTTTGCGTGACAGTGAAGAATCAGTCCGTACTCTTCCACTCTGTCCTCTCTGTTGATTTTGTGGACTTGCTTTGTGTGCCGGCTGAATCACCTCTTTTCTGGACTGTTCTTCGGGGGGGATCTTTGTTCAGAAACTGCTCTGCGCTTCCAGTCCTTCCTAGTGCTCTTCTCTGCCCTTTTCCTGCTGTGCCATTTCTTGAAGCAAGGGAACCAGCTCTACATAAACTTTTCACGCTATGGACGTGCCATGAATTTCCCCAGTGGTAGAATGATTTTATGCTTTGTGGTCTTAATCATTCCTACAGTGTGGTGGTAGTCATCTCAGAGCCCTTTATTCTAAAAGTGAGGTCAAGTTGGTTGGCTTGTCTCCCATAAGCATCCTTAAGATTCACAGAGAATGTAAAATAACTAAAATAACTAAAAATAACTTTTACTTTTCTAGCCTCCTGAGAAGCATTGAGAACACTGTACTGGTCTTAATTCCCATATAGGTTAGAAGTAACCCTTGTGATTTATGAATGACTCGCTTATAGGAGGAATTTTGCACATGGTGGTAGCTTAAATACTGTTCTTTACATATATTCTAGGTACACTTCTCTAATGTTACCTAAAATACTTTTATTCTTGATTTGTAGCCCCAAAACCTTTAGTGAAGATGAATAACTGTTTTGTTTGTTTGTTTTTTCCTCTGAAAAACTAAACAAAGAATGTTGCTTTTATTGGGACAGGGGTTGAACAAATGGGTGAGGAGAGCAGAGGTACCTCTTTTTTTTATATGGCTGCAGTATTTGCATACTTAGTGTCCACTGATTTAGGAAGTTCATGACCTGGACTTAATTCTGCCTTCAGCTTCAGGGAAATCAACCACTCATTCTTAAAAAGTGACCACCACATCAAACTGCAGGTTGTTTATTCTAGAGTGTGCACATCAGAAGGTCTTATTGAAGGGATTTCAGTGCAAAAAAATATCTTGGGTTTCGATGAAGGAAAAGAGAGAATGCAGGCATTATTACTTAGGCACTGGGATGACCTTGGAACATGAAGGCTCCAGTCTTTGTCTCAAGTATTGCTGAAAATTTTAACATGCAGCAGCAGTTGGGTGCATACACAGCTCCTGCTATGCTGTAGAAGAAACACCCATGCTTTTTTTACCTAAAATTAGGCATCAACTGGGTGAAAGTTTTTAAGGTAACAGGAGCTCATTTTTGCTTGTCATTTATGTGATTTTAAGCTTGTATTTTTAAATTTATTATTAATTCTTATTGTATATCTGGCCTAGAAAGAAAATAATTCTTTTTGTCACAGTTCCCTCTGAGAACTCATTCATTCCTACTGCAGGAAAGCACAGTTAGCATTAACTGAAAGAAAAGAGAAAGTTCTCATAAGCAGGAAATTGTGGTTTGTGTCAAGGTAAACACTTACACTGTAAACTAAGCGACTGTTCCTGAAAATCACAAGCAAGTGTCCTTAATTTAGGAATTTTCTTTGCATATTAACCTTACCTCTTTCCCTCTTTTTACGATATACTTTAGTTCCCAGATCAGATGATTCTGTTGCTGTGCTTTCAGTGGTGGTGTACTAGATGTCTTCTGTAGGCTTGGAGTTTGGTCAGATGAATTAACCTTACTTGACAAAACAAGCCTGAGATGAAAAATAAAGGTAAACAAAGCATGCAAGAAAAGAGAAAGAATGAGAGAGGCAGCAAAGTAGCCCTAGCACGATGCTAATCCATTAGAGAGAGATTTATAGCAAAATGGGACTCAAGAGTTTGATGTGGGCCTAGGTGGTTTTCTAAGGCAAAAGCATGCCAAGTACTGATCAAGAAAATCCCTCCCCTCTCTTCAGTGCTAGTGGAAGGAGACCCACCACTTGGCTCACAGCAGACATCTGGCAGCACTAGGTGATTACAGGGAGGTGAATGCTGTCCTCCCCTCTTAGAATACTTGGACTCCCACAACCTTTCAAGCCATAGCTATTGTTAGGAGTATGTAAAAGATTATCTGAATACTTAAAACCAACTAAGTGCTTTTTTTTTTTACATTCTCTTCTAATACCTTGCAAGCATTGAAATAAAAATTATGAGTCGATTATAGAAGAAAGATAAGAAAATCCTGCATTTCAAACACATCTGAGAGAGAGAAAATAACTAACACATTTTATTGCCTCCAAGTTATTTTAATTTATGGCCTACCTTTAAAATCTGCATGCTTAAGAATACATTATTAGATATAATGAGACTCTCTTCCATTCAAGAACTAAACTACGCTGGAATAGTGAGGTTTTTTTCTTCAAGCCAACAATGAAATGAGTCGTAACCACAATCAAAACCATTATAGATGCCACTGTAAAGTACAAACACATACAGCACTTAGGTTAATTGATTTCTTCAGCAACTGAACCAAATTAACATTTGCCCCCCAACCCCCCACTTTATCCGATGATACAGCACACAGTTCTGTGATCCATAATAGTTATGTTATATAAATTATTATAAATTCCTGTGGAAATGCTAACATTATGTGTATGTGTGTGTGTGTGTGCATTTTCTTCATATAAATTATATACCATGGGTTAGAGTGCAAGGTACAGTCGTCGACCTTAGGAAAGGAATTCACTATAATATAACTGTTCGGGAATTCTTTTAAATTTTCTTATGCTTTTTCCTGGGATTAATACGAAGTTTATTGTACACATTGTTCTGTCTTGGTGTAGTATATTAAGGTTCTAAGATACCCTGGATCCAAAGGATATTCGTTGTGCCCTCTAGTGCCCAGTGCAAGGTTTTGTTTTTATAGTAGAAGCGAGGCCTCCACCAAGGACGAGTTTTTAATCTTTAATGCAAGTTCTATTCTAGATGAAATGTTTTAAAAACCTTTGTTGCCAGTGATAATAATCAGGAAGGAAAAACGATGCTAACAAATTGTTAGTGTAAGAGAAATCCTATTTAAGATCAGTTTTCTGTGGCTTTTGCAGAGAACACAGCCACTGGTAGAACAGTTGTAACCAGTGAGCACTGTGGTTCTGCACTGAAAAGGAAGGAAAAAAGAGAAACTGAGAAGTAATATCCAACAGAAAAGATATTTGCATTTGTCTGTATCCCAGTATGTGCCACAATAACACTGTAGCTATTTTTAGGCTTGTTTTATCAGGTAATAAAGGTGACAGTCACTCTTATATTGGTCTATTTCCTTAGAGCAGAAAAGTTGACAGGCTTGTGCAGCAGGAAGGAAGGAAGCAGGAGGACTGTGTGACTAACAGCCTCGCACTGTGACCTGTTTTCTTTGCAGCCTCTCCTTATGGCAACTAGTAACAGAAAGTGAAAATAGTAACCTCTGGGTTAACAAGTCCATGATATAGTCTCTAAATCAAAAGCAAACCATGAACAGGGATAGAGTCCCAGGAAACAATCAAGGGTTTAGCTTATTTTTAAAACCTTGTGATGTTAAATATTTAACACTATGAAAGTATATAAATGAAATATCTATATAATGCTTTTATCTGTTTGAAACTTAATTGCAGTTTCTACTAGTAAATTTTTGCCAGGAAGTGGGTTCATTCAGATACAAATTTGTTACTTTCAAATTTTTTAAAGTCTTTTGTGCTTTTTGACTGACTAGCCTGGCCTGAGATACTCTTTCAAAAAGAGGCTGAAATTTCAAATCTGACTATAGACTCAGTCTTTGTGTGTAAAGCACATCAGACCTAGGATTTGTCTTCACATCTGAAAAATGAGAATCTTTGCTAAACGTGACTGTCTTTCTTTGCCCCATTTGTGATAGCAGAAGGCAATAGGAAGTGTCTTCACTTTCCCTCAACTTCTTGTGGAATTTTTCATGTAAATATAGAGTGGTACTTAAAGAGGTAATAAACAAGCAATTTGATTTCAGGGCAAGACACTTTATGGAGTATTTGAACTGATAGTGGCAATGTATTAGCTGTGATATTAAAAAACTTGAATACATCTGAGCATAGTTTTCTGAGAGGGTACTTTAAAATCTGCTGATATTCTACAGCTCTACCTATTTGATTTTGAACACTAGTTCCAAACAGAATATTAAAGGCTGGGGTTTTTTTCAGAGGAGAGGTGGAGAAGGGAGGAAGTAGATTTTCTATGCCAGTAATTTTTCCCTTAGATGAAACAAAAACTTGGATGAGCTGTTTCTGTAGTCACTACGCATCAAAGTTACTTTCTATCCCTAATGTAGGATTTATATTATGAAGAAAAGATAATGTATCATGTTAGCATTCTGTTTTCTTATTCAAGTTGATGCTTCTTTAGATTTGAAGAGTGATACTGGAAAGGAGCCCAGCTGCTGGCTGAAGTCTGTTATAGTGGGGGATAACATAATTCTATACAGCTGATCCACTGTAGTGCAGCAGCACCAGGTACATAAGGTGCTGCCTCTGGTGAGTCCAGTGATATGAGTGACATAACGTATTTCAAAAGCAACTAATTTCAGATATTCTTTCCAAAAGAATTTTTACAGGTTCCTCTTACGTCCCAGGGTACTTGTCTGAAACATCTGCTGACAGGTCCCTCTGGGCACCTACAAACCATGTGAGGAGAAAGCCAGGAAAATGAAGAGGGAGCACTTGCTTGCTCAAGGTGCCATGACCTCATCCTGGCAAGGTTTGTTATGGGATGTATGCATAACAGTAACTTGGTGATAGCTTTCCGGGTACTGTTGAGCCTTTCACTGACTTGGAATCAAGCTGTAATATGGGATTCAAGTCCTGTACAGGAACATATCATCCTGTGATCTGAATGGTAGCCATCAAGGTAAAAGATTAATAAAAGGAAAATTGTTTTAACACACCCAGGTTCAAAGTTAACAACCTGACGTTGCAAATAGTGTGCAAGTCAGGGATGGTTGGCTTCAAAACAAATCCAGCTACTTAGC